ATATGCCTGCATAATCTTTCTTTTAATTCAGTAGTTATTTTTTGCGTTCTTTCACATCTTGTTGTGTTTTTTTATAAATGGTGTCGTTACTTTTTTTCAGCATTACCTTTTTATCTACATTCTTTTTATGAGAAGTTAATGTATTGGTAGTTATTAATTGAGCCAAGCCTTTCACTACGTATCGTCTTGCTATCGCGATTGTATTGAAGTATTCAGTAGATTGTTCGTAAGTATATTTCAATTTTGTTTCCTACAGTATCTGTGCTATTAATCAAGCACAAACAGTCAACATCACCAAACCATATATTGAAATGAAAGGAGAGAGCGAGATGACTGAGTAAACAATAAGATGACAGATGGAGTGAAAACATCAATGGAATGTTTCATTTTTTTTTGTTTTTCTGTTTTTAAAGCAGCAACAATCCTCATTATCGAGCCTCCAACCGTTGACCAGGATGTAACAGGTGTAGCATAAATAATTATATACACTCTGCATTACTTACGTCTAATTTAGTTTGCAATACTAATATTTGACTATTTGCTTAGAAGGATGACTATGATTTTGTCTATAAAACAGTATGCTCCTTGTATTATATATAATTTCTATCATACAGAGTGTTTCAAAAGTCACTTTATATACTGAGTACTGTACACGTTTCATATCTTTGAAAATTGCTTACTATTACATATTATTCATAATTGATTTTTTTGCTGCTCCATGAGAAAAAAATTAGTTATAAATAATGAGAGATAAATTTTGAGTGTGGGGTGTAACGAAGACTTACACCGATATTTTTGTTTAGGTGGATTCTATCTTGATAATTCTCAAAAGATTCTCTGCCTGATTCGTTATCCTTTTTTGTGTTGACACTTATTTTTGAAGACAAGAAATACCTATTCAATTATTAATCCTAAGTTTCATAGAAGAACAAATGTTAGCAGTCGGAATCTAACAAGAGTATTATTAAACATCTGATAGAAATGGCTCAAAAATATTATGTTGACGACATCGAACGTTCTTATGGCTGTGAAATGACATCGATAGTACCTCAATCATTGACTGGTCGAAGTGGAATTGATTGTTTGAGAATGATCGATTCATTGTTGGTCAAGCAAATCCCTAGTATATCAGAAGGTAAACATCAAAACAACAATGAGTAAATTCTTATTAAAATCTTTGATTTATATGATTCAAGCAATATTCGGTATTGCTGCAGAAGCAAAATTCGATATTTTCAATGATAGAAAAGAACGATTATTTCAAGCATTTGAAAGTATGTTAATTGCTTTTGTGCAATAATTAAAATAACTCGATATATTTTCTTTTGAAAGCATCTTCATTTTGTCAACGTTTGTTCTGCACATCTAGACGACAATTTATACTTCGTATTGTTGACAATAGTAATCAAGTAAGTTTAAATAATTGATTTATTTGAAAGATAAAAATATCTATCATAATTATTAGGAAATCATTCTTGTTAAACGTGAATTCAAATGTTGTTCGGGATGTTGTTGGTGTGCCAATGCAACATGTTGTAGTCAAGAGGTTACTGTTGAATCACCACCAGGAACTTTAATTGGCACGGTCTCACAAGAGTAA